AAACAAGAACAACCAAGCTGTCCGTTTTAGATTTATTTGACATCATCAGCTTACCATATCCAAGCCAGTACTGCCATGCAGTTTTAACCCGAGTCCCATTGGCGTTTGGACTCACGTTCTGTCCTTTAATCAGATCAGTCTGCAACTTCGGATATGAACAATCTGTACTAACATAGGATAGGAATGGCAACTGGACGGGAAGTTATCACTCAAAGTTAAACTGTCTTTCTTGGTATCACTCTTTGATCATGCTTTGCTGGGCCAATACCTACAAACGACGTGTCCGCATTCTGCCCCGCGCTTCGGCCAACCCGATGAACGCCTCTCTCACTGCCATGTTGAAGGCTTCTGCGTGCAATCTGAACTATTTGCTTATATGGTTGATCTGGACAAGTGTAGCGGCCTAAAATACAGATTTAGGCAGGGCTTTGGGGGTAAATACAGATACACGGCTTGGGGACCAATTCACTATCCTATTTCGCGGGCGCACACGCAATTTTGTCTCTCTTTCCCCTCGAAGGTACGATGAAGTTGCCTCCACATTATAAAGCTCTTTAGTGCATAACTTCTAGTGAAAACCAGTGGCGGTCTCATCACCTGCCCCTGGGACTCATTGTAGTCCAAATCCCTTCTTGTTTTCGGGTACTCTGTCTTTACCCCCATGATCTCTTCGGTTGGCAGCCTGGTCTAGGGACTCTCAGTTGTGTACTCTACTTTTTTGCCTGCATTTCAGACGAACCTCTGACCTCTTCGTGAAGTACCTCCACCGCCAACCACCCTCCACCGAGGGTCGTGCAGACGTGGAGGAACGCATCCGAACTGCAATGACCGAGCTCATGACCAAGGAGCAGGCTGTTCTCGAGGCTTGGGCGGCTCAACGACGTCGTCTGGACGACTGTGTGAATTACATCTGCTTCGAGGTAAGCTGTCGCACATTTTTCGCCTGCTGACGCACATGCTCCTTCGTCTCTCTCATCCCTGTGGATTTTATGCCTGCTTCGTGAGTTTCCCTCTGCTAATTGACGAAGGCTTCCTTCTTTTTTTGTCTCCTGAACTCAGCGTGACATCAAGGAGTTGGCGTCTCGCATTCTGCAAAGCGTCTCCTCAGATACGCCTACTGACGTTGACCAGCCGCTGCCCTCACTGTCTCCACAATCACCGCTGTTTGTTGAGGCGAAACGGGCTTGCCATAAACTATCAGTCCTTATCGAGATGGGTGGTTTGCATGTTCCCTACCTCACGGCTCTGCATACTCGCCTCCAGACCTGCATCACACCACCCGCTCGACCCTCGGCTGGCGCCGGCGATACGAGCGAATCCAGTCTCGTGGCCAAAATGCGTACCACGAGTATCGGTGGCTCCAACCGGT